AGTCTTTTCAAAGTGTCTCTTCATTTTCTTTTTCTCTTTTTCCTTTTTTTTTTGGTCCACGAAAGAGCTATGCGTTGGAAAGTGGCAGATCACGCAGTAAATTTGTACCCCTGGTAATCTCTCCGGTATCATAACGGCGCTTATTGCGCTGGCAACGTGACCTATTAATTTAGATTTAGATTACACACTCGATTCTACCGGTTTCAATTATTCACGCCTCTGGAGTGAGTAAGCATCGGGAAGGGAATCAAAATTCGTTGCTATCATGCATTGTAATTATTGATCACGAAGCATATGTGGCCGAGCTGAGTTATGCATGAGAACAGTATTGCCCGATTATTTACAGCTGTTTCAAATCGATACGCTAATGAGCAAGAGAATTAATTCCTACTAAATCGAAGCCACCAGTGAATCTGTCATACAAATGGTGCTTGCATTAACTTCCGAAAGAAAGTTGCCTCGCTGTTTTGAAAAAAGTGCTACGGAGTTGTCGAGCCTGTCACAGAACCAACGAAACAGTAATTTCAATTCACGTTTCTCTTTGTACATGTATATATCATTTGAAATATTTTTTTTCACTGGCTGAAGTTAAGAGACTGAAATACTGAAAATTTCATATGAAATTTCCATTCTGCGTTTTCCATTTCCGTTCTGCGAATTTTGACTTTCCATCTGCTTCGATAGGAATTAATTCTCTTGCACAATTAGATTTTGAAAAAAAAAAAAAAATGAAATTATTTTGCCCCAGTTCCAAGATCTTTCTCATACATTAATTAATCGATTCATATATATACTCACACTATTTAACTTTTTGAAACATAATTAGCGCTCCACATTTTCCGATAACAGATTGGACTGATTTATTAGGTAATCTCTCCATTCAATTCATCCAACAGAATTTCCACGTCATTAAATCCTTGCACCTATTCAAATATCCGAAACCGCTCATATAACTTAAACCTCTTAAATATCCCCAGTAATCCTCTTTAACTAGGGATGAAGTCATTGACGTCATACCGTAAGCATTTAATTAGCAAAGTTCTGTTCTGTAGCCGTCAACTATGACTATAAATTCCTTATTCCCAATTCTCTATGGGCTGTTGCATGGCTACTATAAATAAAACTGTAATAAATAGATCTGTTCTATCAGCTTTTTATTGGTCTTTTATCTATCTACATACAGATCTACTCTCGATTTTCTTCTTTAAATCCTTGAGAAAATACTTCAGAATGCATTTAGAATATTATAATTCAAAATTATCCATAATCCAAAAATATTCCCTCCAATATGAAAATTATTCCCCACTACATCGACGTAATACATAATTTATCATATGTGTGTTACTTTAACTCAGCGGAAAGCATCTAATTATTTAGATGGATTCGTGTGTGCAAGCTTGAATTCACAGTAAATAAATTTATATCAATGTCTACTATCGTATGGCACAAAATATTCGATATATAAATTTCGAAAATAAAAAAAAAAGATATCGAGGCAAAGGGAAAGTCAAGCGAAAGTCACGTTGCAACAGAAATTGTAGAAATCGTAGATCACAAAACCAAGGTATTAATTTGAAAATCAGGTATACTGAAACAGTTTCTAAGTTTCAAATTTACGTGTACTTTTGGATCCCCGGAATTGGTTTCTATGAATTTTTACAATGTAAAAATATATTTTATTATTTGTTAGTGTAATTTTTAAACTTTTAGATTTCTCGTTTATTCTCCAAAATTTGTCCATAGAAAATTGATATTATCTATAATTTAATCTGTAATCTCATAATTTCATAATCTGATCGTTTTTCTTGATTCAAATTCAATGTTTGCTTCGTTGTACAAAATTTACAATCAGACACGATTTGGACCTCGCAAAAAATATGTATCTTGAAACTAGCTGTAGCTTGGAATTACTGTTATTTGACTTATCAATTCGAATGTTACAAATATTAATTGGCCAAGACCAACTACAATACACCATTGAAAAATACCGCATTTCCAATCTATACAACTTTCCAATCTGTATATAGAGAACTTCGTTCTCTTCCAATTTTCGTAGTTTGCTAATAGCTCAGTCGATAATATCGTTCAACGGCGTCACAATTTTATCAAGTCTTGACGATAATGAGATTTTTTCATTCTACTTTCTCTCCTTTTTCTTTTTTTTAATGTACAAATGAAGTTTAGACAGCAATGCTCGATAATATTATGGAATAATACGAACTAATTTGAATAAGCTAATCATTAAATGAAATAAAATTTTTGCCACTAACATACAATAAAATATATTTTACACATAAATGGGAGACATTTTGGGACATTTAAAATTCTAAAAATCTACAAAATATTTATAGTCATAATGAAATAATATCTAAAATATTTAAAATATTCAAGATAGAGCACTGCTCACAATTTTAACAAATAAAATAAATTATTTAAATTTTTTTTATATTTTTATTTATCATACACATTGGTACTTCTAATGTAACCTGATAAACGACTTAGCAACATTGTTCTTTCTGTATATAATAAGGGATTTATTCTAAATTACGTGCACTTTTCTTTCTATATTTTACGTTCTGCTATACCTTCTATTTGTATCAATGCTACATTGTCATTCTACCGTTTCAATTTCGCATTCTGTCTTCTACCCTCGAAACTTCTAGTACGTGAGTCGCAAACGTAGTTAACAAACTTATCGTTAAAACCTGGCATTCGCGACAATTCATTTTATCCATCGGGCAGAAATAATTTTAACTTTGCAGGGAATGCCGTGGGCACGTAACTACGGAACTCGGAGCGATGTGACTTAGCCTCGCATGTTAAGGGTCGTGGCGACGATGATGGACTCGCTTGACGTTAAGTCGCCAGGATAATCCGAGATTTACACAGAGTTGTCTAGGCCACGATTTTCCATCGTTGTCGGTGGCGTATCGTACTATGCGCGTAAAACCGCAAGTGCGCCACGGTTTGTTTAAGGTTATTGAACTTTTTTACCAGACGACGTTCGTTCCATCGTCGTTATAAAGGCTTCGTCGTCCTCGTATTTCCCTAATTTACGGTTTTAATTAAAGAGATACGCGAGGCGGCTCGTCTTAATTAAACAGCGCGCGACCAACCCTAACCGGACAAACGAAGTACAATTTTCTAATATGCGCAACCACGTTGCGACGAAATCAATGGAACTCCTTAATTCGCAATCCGTTTCATTCGAATACGAATGATTCGTTTCCATAGAGCTTTAAACGATACCACTGGCCTAGGAAATAAGGGGAAAGCCGGCAGAATCATCGAAATGGAAACGAGAAAAGAAAGACTGAATGAAACGAGACGCTGACTTTGCGTCTTGATACAAATTGATCGAGAAAAAAGATCGGTCGACTCGAATCGATGACACGGAGTGAAAAGACGCGAATGAACGAGATTGCGAATATGGAACGAAATAAACAGGCGACTGGTATTGCAGGATGTATGGAATGAATGAAAAGTCACGTGGTCTGTCTATGAAACTATTGTGCTGCGCAAAACCCGAAGAAAAGGTGAAAGTGCAAATTACTGTATTCGTCGAGTGATCCAGGTGTTGGTGAACAGGGCATGTAAAAGTGGATAGAATGCGAAAGTGGATGGAGATTAACTCTGGTGCTAATTTAGCGACGACTAGTAAACATCCTCGTGGGTGCCATACAGCTTAATTCTCGGCCGCAGATAAAACTTGAGCAACGCGACTGCTTTTTTCCATTCGCCTTTTATATTCACCTTTCTTTGCTACATTGCAGGAAAAAAAAACAAATAACAATCAAACGAACAAAAACCCGCAAAATATTCGTGGATTGGTCGCGGTTGAGACAAATGCTGCCATCTTTCGTGAGGATCAGAACTAAAGTGCCACATCGCCACACGACTTATTCTATAAAATGAAATGGCTCGTCGTTTTTTGGAAGAAATGAAATTGAAATTACGCGATACGATAGATTTTGATTCGAAATATTCCACGAAACATCAATTTTTAATTAACATATTAAGATTAACAAATCTATTGATTAGCTTATTACTCTCTTCCTGCAGATCATTATTTTCAACACAGGTAAAATTTATGATTATGGAATTGTTATAGAATTAATTACAATATTTTGATATAAAAAATAAACATAAAATGTCAAATAATATAGAAAAAAAAACTTTAATTTTTGCACAAACAAATATTAAATTATTTTAGTAATGAATATTTTACTCAATTTTTTAAGTTGAGAGAAATGATACAGAAAGTTGCGTCCTCTTTTTTTATATAATTTATATAATGTTAAATTCAATATTTTTTATATAATATTAAAAATTCTATCTCTTCGGAACAGTTGCTTAAATAATTTACACGCGATGACATCGTGTAACGAGCTTTGTCCAGATAACAATAATGTACAATAATATTAACAAATAATAATATTAAAAGCACGTTCGACATATAAGTCATAAATTATACGGTTTAAAGATGCGCAATCGATTCAATATCCGCGCTTCGATTCAATAGTGTAATTATTGTACATGAATAACGAAACATGACCCGTCAGCTGTAATTCTTCGCAATATTTATAATTTATTAAACGTATTCTTTGGAAAATTTTAAACTATTGTTAGAAATTAAAAGAGAGTTTGAGATACAGCAGAAGGTCAGAAGAGATAATTTCCTCTCTGCATTCATTGATACTTTTGGCCAATAGGCATCCTTGTATTTAAGCTTATATTGCTGAAACAACTATTCCTCGCGAGACTTGTTTATTAAATTAATATTATTATTATATTATTAATATAACAATGAAATTTTTATTAAGATGTAATAATATATGATAAAATAATCGGTAAATCTGTTCTTTAAATAGCCAAAAAATAAATGTAATTAATTTCCTATTACGCTCTCCAGATGGCGCTCAATTCAACCGAGAGTGAAGAACGTATATCTGTCTACCAGGTTCTTCGTGCTTGAAACTGTAAGGGAACGCCATGTTCGTACAGTAGGTGGTTTGATGCGGGTGTGTAAACGTGTTGTCTACTTATTTTCAAATACTAACATTTCATTATTTATTTACACGATACATCCCGATACGAAGTGTCCCGTCCGTGGAGTGTGTTACGTTCGATGCTGTGGTTGACTGAATTTCCAACGATACATGGAATAATCTGATAGACGCGAGTGATTTTGTGACTTATGGACTTTCCTTCTCTCTGGATTCTTCACCTCGTAAATTGTTTACAAGTTGTTCACGCTGCTTTGCAATTAAATAAAGCTTGTAGGACGTATTATTCGCGTTAGGAGTACAATTTCGTTTTCAGAAATTGTCAGCAAGCAACGGATGGACGTGATGCATCTTTACTAGAGGCATTTGCACGTTTTATAACCTGACAACACGTTCGAAGTTTTTCCATCTCTATCATGTCATTTCATCTTTGACGAAGTATTAAGTGGTATGTATATTCGAGCAATACATAGCGTTCATATTCCCGCATATTCTCGATCACGTGTAGAATGTTTGAAGGCAAAAATTCGCGCGATCGAAAATTAATCATCGAAAATATCTGCGCATTTTGTAAAATGTTCGACGCTCTTCTGAAAATAGTTCCAATTTTTTATTCGTATTTTTCCAGAATTGTGTAGCATCATCGCTTAATCGCATTTCTGCACAAATTTCGGGCACTTTTGTATTAATTTTTTGTTTTTATATAGCGTACGAAAATTGTGTGTAAATATAGATATCTAAACTGGTTTAAATATAATAAGTTTAACTCAATGTTTTATAGGTGCTACTGTATCAGATATATTGTGTTTATATTAATTTATATTACCTTAGAAAACATGTATAGAAATAAGATATATATTTCATTCAAAAACAATATGTAATAATAATTTATTAAATTTATGTAAAGATTATTTATTAAATTTATAAAAATATCTATTTTCATTTTATGTATTATTATTTTATAAAGACATTATTATTTTCTTATATTAAGGAGATATTCTAGTATGAACACTTTTTTTTATATTTCTTTATAAATTTTTTTAGTAAAATGATATTAATATACACTATGTCCCTACATTTGTTTCTGATGAATGATCAATAAATTTTTTTTTGATCAATAAATTTTTTATTATCAATAAATTTTTTATTTCAATTTCTGGTATAAAAAAAATATATGTTGATGATTTTGATGATTTGAGCCACTTTCCTTATTAGAAACACAAAAGTCTAATTGATTCTTAATTAGCATAAATGTGACTACACCAAAAAGAAAGAAAAATATTGAAAAATCAAAAAATATGTGTTAACTTGTGATAAATATCTTGTACAGACATACAAAATCTGAATTCAATCAGTACAGTAGTTTTTAAGATATGACGATTATTATGTTTTAAAAAACATAGTTTTGAAAAAAGTCCATTTAAATCTTTGAAACTCTTTTCACATAGAAATTTTATTTACCATTAATGTGTCAATTTATGTTTCTAAAATGTTGTAGTTTTGATACAAAAAACAAAAAATCAATTTTTCAATTGTATTACATTAAAATACACCTTTAATGTAATTATTCTTTTAATGATACAAAGTAATGTTACTAAAATGATTACTAAAATAATAAATGTATGTTGCAATATAGTTCATTGTTTATATAATCAAGTTTTTATTAATCTGTGCATCAGTTTGTAAGAACTTTAAGCATTCTAAAATCAATTAAGTGAAATTGTCATTTCAGATTTGAGACAAGTTATTAAATGTCAAAATGTGGTCATCTCAAGGTAATAATTCAAATTCAAACAACGCATCCAAGGAAGAAAAAAATTTGCGTACATTAGGCATGACATCTGCTATTAGTGTGGCAGAACCAAAGCCCAGTGATTTTACTAGGACAAATGAATTAAAAGAGGCATTAAAGCCCTATAATGTTTTTGAATCTGAGGAAGAACTGAATCATAGGATGGAAATTTTAAGGTAATTTACATATAATATTACATCCGTACTTATGTCGATATCGAACATTACTAACTATATTATGTTTATATTACTAACTATATTGTGTTTCATCAGCAAATTAAATGCACTGGTGAAACAGTGGATACGGGACACTAGCATTGCCAGAAATATGCCACCGAATGTAGCTGAACAAGTTGGCGGTAAAATATATACTTTCGGTTCATATAGGTTAGGGGTACATCACAAAGGTGCTGATATAGATGCCCTGTGTGTTGTACCACGTCACATCTATAGGTCGGATTATTTTACCTCATTCTTTGAGTTACTGAAAATGCAAGAAGAAGTTACAGATTTAAGGGTATGTACTTTAGTTAATATTAAATAATCGTATCATTAATTGTCACACAGTAAGTAATACGATTCATTGTTGGAGTTATTACTAGTTGATTAATAATAAAAATCTCTATTTAAATATATCAAAGATATATCTATATAAAATATCTAATCAAATGTAAATTTGTATTTATTTACTTATATTATTTAATATATTTTAGGCAGTGGAGGAAGCATTTGTACCAGTAATAAAAATGAATTTTGATGGTATTGAAATTGATATGTTGTTTGCCAAACTGGCACTTAAAGAAATTCCCGATTCAATGGTTAGTATATGATTTAAAAGTATTTATGCAAATACTTTCCCTTCTCCTATATCTAATATTGTATATCTTCTATATCTAACAAATTTTTTCATATATGTAGGATCTTAGAGATGATATGCTTCTCAAAAATCTTGATCAAAAATGTGTAAGAAGTCTTAACGGATGTAGAGTAACAGATGAAATACTACGTTTAGTACCTAATATAGAAAATTTTAGACTAGCACTTAGAGCTATCAAGTTATGGGCAAAGCGTAAGATGATATTCTCTCTAATTTTCATGCGTCGTGAGATAAGACAAGTGTTTCTAATATAATGCTTTGTATATTTATTTTTAGGACATGGAATATATAGCAACGTATTAGGGTATCTAGGTGGTGTATCTTGGGCAATGTTGGTTGCAAGAACATGTCAACTTTATCCAAACGCAGTTGCAGCAACTTTAATAGAGAAATTTTTCCTTGTATTTTCACAATGGAAATGGCCACAACCAGTTCTTCTAAAGCAACCTGACAATGTTAATTTAGGTTTTCCCGTTTGGGATCCAAGAGTAAGTATTATTTTGAAATATATATTCTTTTTGTTAAATTACGTTATATATTATTGAAAATATTTTAATTTAACTCTTTTTTGAAGGTGAATATATCAGATAGATATCACTTAATGCCAATAATTACGCCCGCGTATCCTCAGCAAAATTCAACATTCAACGTGTCAGTATCAACAAGAACTATTATGCAAGAGGCGTTTGAGAATGGACTTTCCATAACGGAAGAGATTATTATGGGAAAGGCAACGTGGGATAAATTATTCGAACCTCCAAATTTCTTTGGCAAATATAAGCATTATATTGTACTATTGGCAAGAAGTTTAACAGCTGAAGATCAACTCGAGTGGTGTGGGCTTGTCGAGTCAAAAATACGACATTTAATAGGTAAAATATTGGACACGTTAAATATATTCAATTAAATTATATGGATATTATAAAATTCGTCGATGAACGTACAATATAATAGCATACGAGATGTTATACAAAAATATTAATCGAACGATCATGTAAGTTAAATAATTTGTAGATAAAAATGTGAATTAATCGATGACGCCTAGAAATATTTAAAAGCCGGCTGTTTTGTTATTAGTTTGAACATAAATTAAAACAGATTGCTTTTATTGTTATGTAAATTGTTCGAGTTGTCTATAGGTTTTTTGTATCATAAATTTATATACTTCCCACAAGAGTAAGGAGGCTCTAAATCAGCGAATCTAAGTCTATTCTAAAAACATTCATTTTGTAGATATTACAATGCTAATAAACTTTTTAAAAATAGGTACACTGGAAAGGAATCCACATATTACATTGGCACACGTAAATCCAGAGGCATTTCCACCGTTAGAACCAGAACCAGAAGGGCACTGCTCTATGTGGTTTATCGGTTTGCTATTTGCCAAAAGCGAGAATTTAAATATTGATCTAACGTACGATATAAAATCTTTTGTAGACTCAAGTAAGTATGTTATAACACGTGTAATTAAATAATTTAATTTTTAATCTAATTTCATCAATTACTTCTACAAATTTTTTACGTATTAATTATAAACTTATTAAATTACAGTTCTAAGGCAAGCAGAACAGCTGAACATGTTGAAGGAGGGTATGTGGATCGAAGCAAAACACGTGAAAAGGAAGGATCTTCATACTTACGTATCTCCTAGTTTGCTTAAACGGGAAAGAAAAGTACGAATCAATTTTGTTTGCATAAATATTACGCAAATATAGAATATTAACGATTCTTTTCTTACAGATTTCCGGAAATATACATAAAAATGGAAATATTGCCGGGAATGGTAACAATGGTGGCGTTTCTCCACGAAATCAAGATGTGAATAGCAGGAAAAGATTATCCGATCAGAACATAGACACATTCGGGAAAAAACGAAGAGTTACCGATAACGAACAACAAGTAACACATGTATGTAATACAATTTAACTAAATATTATATATTAGAATAAAAATAATCAATAACTATGATAATATGTTTGCAGGCAGATGGATCGTTAGTGGTTCAATCTTGTGGCGAAGACAGCAATTCCGGATTTAGCTTGGATGAATACAAACAAACATTAACTGCTACTAAGGATGTAAGACATTGTACATATAATGAACAATAATCATCATATATCAGGATTAGGTAACTACATATAAAAATAGAGCATAGTAAGACAATTTCGGATTCGTTGGAGAAGAAATTATTTTTTATTAATTGAGGTTGTGCGGAGGTAAGGAGCGGAGAGTACAACAATATCGATGTGATTAGTTTATTTGCAATGTTCCGCTTCTTTCTCTTATTTTTGTTTCTGTATACTTGAGAAACGAGAATAATTTTAATTTGTTTTATTATTCAAAATGTTTTAGGAGGGGCCTACTGGTGCATCTACAGTAGCACAGGAAGGATATGTTTGCACTTGATCACTGCAGGATTACTACCTCAAATCGATCCATAGATGCTCTTCTGGGCCATCTAGACTGTAATCACTTCTCATGCAACCATCCACTGCCTACTGTAAGTCCCCCCATTTCCTAAAAAACAAACGTCATGCGTTGAAGAACATTATCTATTGGAGTCAATCGATGCACGACTGTATGACGAACGCTCTAATTTTAGTATTTATGAACAACATCAACAGTCAATGGGAACAATTATGCCATGAACGAATGATTGTGCCAGTGTCTGTGATGTTACTTTTTTTATCGTAAATCGCGTTGGTCATATTGGGGAGCCACGATCGAAGGGCTAGTAGTAGCAAAACATCACTAAGTCTCTAAGATTTATAATTTTATTTTTATATTTTATTTTGTACATATCACTTATAATCATTTTTATCCACAAAATTATTAAAAACGAAAAAAAAAAGAAAAAAAGGAAACTATGGAAAAGGAAAAAAGATAAAAAAGACACGGATCTAAAAAAACAGTTCGTGTCATTACGCTAAAAAATGCGAATAAGCAAACGATATTTTGTATTAGGCTTGATGCTTCTATTAGAATTTTCAGCAATGAAAAGAAAAAGAAAGAAAGAAAAAAAATGAGAAGTTTTCGATGTTTCGAAGTTGAAACGTATTCTTATATTAAACGCATTTCTTTAATGCATAAATAGATAAAAGATTAAAAAAAAAGCAAGTACATTTAAGTTGTAAATAATTAATACATTATTATTTTCGGTGTAAATTACACGAAACGATCTATCTTCTTAAGTCTGTAAAAGTATAATCGCAGTACGATAGTAGATTTCAGTTTCTTTCACTCAGTTATTTTATAATATCCCTTAGCTATTTATACTATCTATGCTAAACGAGTATCTCTCTCCCACTGAATATTAGTTGCTGTACGAACTCGGTTCTGATACATACAGCATTGTTTATATTTCTCACGTATGAAATGTCTAAGAAAAGAAAAAGTTATTTTTTTTTCTTTACCGTAACCAAACGAGTAACAAAACGAAAAATCACCGGCACTGGCATAAGAGATTGAATGTTTCATTTACAGAATAATCGTTGATTGTAGCAATTAGATTCGAGTTGATAGTTACTCATAGTAATAGTCTGTAAATGAAACATCTATGAACAAGCCATTGACTATCTTTGTTAACGATCGTGTTACGTTAAACGATGTTTTTCGAATGGAGAGCTTTCATTCGCAGAAGTTATAGCTTTAACAATGCAACACGGGACTGGCATCTGGATTCTGATTCGAATCATCAATATCACCTGTTGGTGAGTTTTTTTTCAGATGTTCGATTGTTTTCAGTTCCCTTTCAGTTTAGAAATTCTATCCTGTAATCATCTCCCCATTCTATCTCTTTTTCTTTTTTCTTTTTTTTTTTTTTT